CCAGCTCGAGAGCTGGGGAGATAGATAAGAAATACCTTTTATTGGTTTTTCCTTTTCGCTTGCCTACATTTCCTGATTAGTCGCTAGATTGTGGAGGCCAAGGCTCAGGCTCTGCCAACTCGAATTTAGGGCGCGGCTGCCGAGAAGCTGAGCGCACTAATAAATTGCTTTTTCATTGAGCCAAACTTGAATGCAACTCACTTTGAGTTGGCCAATAGCAAGGCAACAAATATTTTAGGGAGTTTATTTGCATGCATATCTTAACCAATTCTCATGGATCGCTAATTAAAATTTTAATAATTTATAAGATTACTTGGCATAAGAAAAAATTTAACAATAAATTAAAAAAAAAAATGTTAATTCTAAATAAATGAAGCTTGGGCAAATATATAGAAATAAAAATGACTAACTTATTAATACTTTTCCAGGTTAGCAAATTATTTTCGATCGATTATTTATTATTTTTACTAAATTCGAAATTTTTTTTTATTAATATAATATTTAACAAACTTTTAGTTTTGTTATATTTTTAAATACTGACCAAAAATATTATTGTAAAATATATATAAAGAATAAATAAATAAAAAGTAAATATATTTATTATATTTATTTATTTAAAATTAAAAATTGTAAAAAAAAAAATATATATATATATATAAATGGATCATTCGGCGTATGCGTAATTATTTTGTGCAAGAGAACTTCAACAATAGCAATATCACTCTCTATAACAGTAATAAATACATCATCAACTCACAGACCAAAAGTCTCAAAAGAAGTGTGATCATTCAGATGTAATTAACAAATTATATATATTTTTATCACCCGAGGTGTAATTCATTATAAACAAAGCAAAAATTATAGCAATGTGTGAAATTAATTTAATTTATCTAGTAAAAGATATGATGCGAAATAATGAAAACGAAAACTTCGCAAAATTTTTTGTGCACTGAAAAAGAAAGTTTTTAAAAGTTTGATTTTGAGATATTGGAAATTGTGTAACATTTGCTGGCGCCAATAGCTGTGATTTTTTGTTGTTGTTGTCTTCTTTTATTTTGATAAATTGTCAATAATTAAAAGTTGGTTCATAAATATAGGCGAAGATGCCTCCAGACTCAATGGCAATCAGCTTATAGCCACATCAAATGATTGACTGCGCCGCATTTGTGATTTGATTTTGTGCCACGATTTTTTTGCGCATTATTAATCTTTAAGGTTGGCTTTTTTTCTTATATAACACTCCATGAATTTGCTGTGAAATGAAGGCGGATCTAATGAATGTGTGTGCCCGACTAGTTGATATTTGAAGGGAGATTTTTTTTATATATCAGCAAGCTTTACTTGCATGAGAATCGCACATAGAGGCGCCTGAGTTGTAACATTTTCACTGGCTCAGTCTCTTCCACATATAGCATCAACTCTTATTTGGGGTTGTAACTGGAGCCCGTTTAAATAGATTTTGTTGCTTTCTAGAGCCTAGGTCTGCTATAAATAAGCTTCATATTCTGTATTTCTATTCTTTGTTTATACTAGTCTCAAATGACTCGAATTGGGTTTTAGCTGTACAAGCCATTTATTTCGAATCCACATTATTTAACCTGCCCCGCCCCGCCGCCTTTAAGCTTTCGTACATTCACGAGAATTGCATAGAGAGGCGCTAGAGTTTAAGTACTCAATTCAAGCATAAGATCGTGTTGCAGCATGTCGATTTTTCCTGCAGCTATAACAATTTTATAGATTTTCCAGCAACATTTACATTTCTCCGCTCTTCTGCTTCCATTCTCTTCCGTTCCGCTGTATTATTTCTCTCGATCTCGATCAGAGCGATAACATTAAAGCTTAATGTACATTTTATCTGTCTAGCTGCTCGACTGTGGCCCCGCTCTCACTTCTTCTTTAACACATCTAAGCCGTGCACTCAGATTACAATATTTAATCGTAATATTTTACGGTCTTCTACTACTACTTCAACTTAATCTTCTTCTTCTTTTTGAATTTCGATTACTTGGTCTCTTGGGCAATATTCTTCATACATATATCGATGTGCATGTGAAAATTATATGCATTATTAGATATTATGGCAAAGCAACTGTATTGAGGGAGAGCATCGCAACGAGATGCTGAGTCCACCTCAACTCAATGCTGGCAAAATCTCGGCAAAGATTCTAACGGTACGCGGTGCAGCAATGCCGGCAGCAGCAGCAGCAGCAGCAGCCAAGACAAACAAACAAACATGTGTAAGCCGCTGCTTAGCAGCCGTAGGATCCACCTTCTGTCGCTGCTGCTGCTTCTTCTTCTTCTCCAGCTGCTTTGATATGCTTCCAGTTGGGATGATGCTGCTGCGGCTGCTGCGACTGCTGTTGCCTATTTGGCTTCCTCTCTTGCCAGGCTCTTCAACCAGCTTTGGCCAAGAGTTGTTTAGCCACATTTTCAACCTGTCGTCATGACTTGGCCAAAGTCAAGTTAGGAATAAACGACAACAACAACAACAGCAATGCGGCACACGTGATTTAGTTCCTGTCGCTGCAAAAAACTTGTTGTTCCCCTTGCCATCCCCCTCCCCTGGTGGCCAGCTAAGTGTCGCCGTGTTTTATGCATATTTTGTGGCCATTGGAGCTGCCTGCTTGCCGCTTATCTTTGGCTTAAATAAATTTTACGCTCGTGTATTTCTTTTCAACGCCAGCATCCAATGCAACAGTCCCCAATAACAAATCCCGTCCGCGACGACGACGACGACGACGACACACTGCCCAAATGTCCTCTGTTACCACATTGCAACTTATTTTATTTATTTAGTTGCTGTTGCTGTTGTTTTTGTTGTTGTATCCTCCAATCGCTTGGCAGGCATCTTTGTCTGCCCGTTTTCCCAGCACTCTTCCAATCGCCCTCCCTCCCTCTCTCACTCTTTCTCTCTCGCTGTCTGGCTTACTTGCACATTGTTTAAAATTTATTGCCACATTAATAAAATTTACAGCTAATAAAAAATGTATTGAGGTCTGGCCAAATACACCCACCAAAAGGCCCCAGAGCTACGCTCCTAGATATCTATTTCTAGGCCACGAATTAGGACTCTGAATTAATTTCGCTACTCTTAATATGCACATAAATACATACATATAAACAACTACATATATAAATACATGCACTCACACTCATGCCTTTGCTTGCCTTCCATGCGCTCTCTTCATCTAAGCGCGCTCTCCCGCTCACCACTCGCTCGATCTCCCTCCCACCATCAGCGCTTTGCCGTTTCAATCATAAGCAACGCCCTAGCATTGACTATTCACCCGCTCTTTGCCCCTTCCACTCATTGGAATCTTTACATATCTTCAGCTACATCGCCGTCGTCTTCGTCGTCGTCTTCTTCTTCTTCTTCGTTTTCAGCTGTCACAGGCTGAGATCTGAAGAAGTAGACAAAGAAGAAGCAGACGCAACTGTTTCCCTTGCGCTTTGAATAAAAATTGCGCAATATTATTTAGCAACAACAATGCAATTGATTTTGAAAGAAGACGCTGAAGACGAAGCAGACGAGTTGGTAACCAACAATTACAACGGTACTTGCGCTGCTTGAATGAAAGCAAAGCATGAGCGCGGGACTGTGCGAGGTGTGTTAGACAACTAACGAAGATTCCTCAAGGCATGCGCAAGCAAACAAAATGCTTAACAAAGGTCACAACATTGACATTGAACAAGTCTTCAAACGCTCGTACAGAAGAGAAGAAAGCGGGCGCAGCGTGGGGAGAGCGAGAGTGAGCGAGTGTGCGGCTCTGTAAATGTTTGCTCAAAAGAGAGCCAACAAGGGGCAGATGAAAAGAGTAAACATTACTTAGGTAAATGCTGTTTAATATGCAATTACAAGACGCGGGAGGGAGAGGGAAGAAGCAGATGTGTTGTGGGGTGGGTTTTGGGCTTGGGCTGGCTTTTGTGAGGATCAAGTACCGTTTTGGCCAGTCAATCAAAACGTTTAAAATTAAATTATACGATGACAAACGAAAATAATTTTTTTTTCCTGACTCGATTCTAGGTACGTGTCAAGAGTTCAGCAGAGAGAAGCTTTTCAGTTAACCCTGCGGGCTGCACACACATAAATACATATTTACAATGTATGTAAAGCATGTATGTATGTGTTCACAACCACAAATCAATCATAGCTGTCATGGCTGCCCTCCTCCTCGCACCCATTGTGCGTCACACATAATTATGCTGTAATTGATATTTTCTATGCAAGCTCACCTCTCCCGCCCTCCGCTCTCTCTCTCTCACTCTTACACACTTTCTGTAGCTCCCTCTCCCTGCCTCTGTCAGTGTCCGTCGCACTCTTTGGCTGGGGCGTCGCAACTTTTCAAAAGAAATCAAAATTTGTAACGCCTTTTGATGGCCCGTTTTTCGTTTTTCTCTCTCTCTGCATCTCCCTCTGCCTGTTCCTTTCTCACTCGGACTTTGTTCGGCTCTTTTAAAGATCAGCGTTTGGAACCTGCACTTAGTTTGCATAGACAATTCTTTGCCCTCTTCTTCTTCATCTACTTGCTGTTGTTGCTGCACTTTGGTATGATTGAATGTTTTCAGAGTTCTCAGCTTTACCGTTAGCTGGACATAAAGTGTTTCGTCAATTTTGCTATATTGTCTCTATGGACGGACCCAAGGAGCAAAGTGGTTGGGGTTAAAGCTATAACAATGTGAAGTTACTTAACTACAAAACTACTGTCTAGAGATTTGTAAGGCCAAAGAGTCGTCCATCAGATACCTTATAAACTACTTAAGCTGAAGAAGAGTTGTTTCAGTTGATAGCATTAATTTTAGTTTCCCAATCAATCTTAACACTTTCCCTAGCAGTGAAAGTCTCCAATCAGAATCTTTCGCTTACAACGCACATACTATTATGTGGGAGCATCTTACAACACTGTGTAACCAAAATTCCAACAATGATAGATCATTAAAACTTTTCACGGGTGACCAGACGTAGCCAAAACAAACGGACAGTCACGACCCGACAAAAAAAAAAAAGCTCGAAAATATGCGACTGCAGAGTTGAAAGGTCGTGTGAAAGGCTGTTTAAAATACTTTAGTGTTGGTTAGAGAAATACTAAATGCACTTTGATTTACCTAAATGAGGATCAATGCGAAGATCAAGTCACATTTAAAGACAACGACTGAGTAGTCGTAGCTCTCCATGCGAGTTGCATCTTCCTTCTTTGTTCTGGGCGATCGCGTCTAGCAGGAAATGATTTATGTTTTCTCTGTGATGCGACAACAATGAATGAGAAGAGCTGCTTTTCACATTTGTTTTTCCTTTTCGGAAAATGTTCTCTAATAACCTAAACAATTGCTGGCATGTGGAGCTGGCGATTTTCTTGTTCAGCAGGGGAAATGATGTGAGCGCGTTTAAAGAGCTTTGACAGGGATTAAAGAGTTGGGCTTACACAAAGGGAAACATGTGTAGCTGAAAGTTCACAAAGACCGTTGAAAACTTATTGGAATTTATGAGAGAAGTAATATTTATGCGTATGACAAAATATATGACGTAATGTATATATGATATATTAGATATATTTGGCAAGGAAACTGAAATAATAAATTTAATAAACCCCATGTTAGTTTTAACTCAACATTATCTCCAATCTATAAATAAATAATAATATTTAACGTTCTTCTGCATACTAAGCATCAATCGATAAGTAAATAAATCGATAACTAAAATCAAGAAAATATACAAAGCTTGTTTAAAGGTGACATCGATTTATGGTAATTGATATTATAAAATATAAACGATAATTTATCAAGTAAAAAGAAAAAATATTACCTTCATATAGTTTAATTTCATTTGCTACCTAATCAATCTATGGCTGCTATAAGCTCAGCTCTACAAGTACCCATCGCTGGTAAAGAAATACTCTGAAATGTTCCTAGAAAAGGGTTCAAATCATAAGAAAAGTTGCCCCCAGAATTGAATGTTTCAGCATTTGTTCCCATCAATTTGTTGACACTTTTGTTCGGGTTCATGTCAATGACCATTCAATAACTGCCACAAAAAAAAAAATTGGTTTCCACTAGTTCAAGTGCTCAATAGACATTTATTTCTATTTCTGGTCTGTGTCAGCGTTATCCATCATTAGACTCAATTTGTTGGCTACGCCCCGAGCATGACTCGACAAGAACATATAGCTACGATTCTAACTGCATGACGAGCGACAAATGGATGCTCGGATGCTGCTAAAAGGGCTGCAACTGCATAATGCATTCATTATAAACTATTACAAAACAGAAACAGAGAAGAACAGAGAGATATAAGGAAAAGAAAAGAAAAACTGTCAACAAGTGCGGACAATTCCCAGAGACAGTAGCTGCACTAAAACAAATAAGACGAAAAATAATACCAACAACAACAGCAACAACAACACTCGATGCCAGTTCAATCAACTCTCGAAAAGCCAGCCAGGTCTGGACCTGGGCCTCAAATTCCATATCTTGGCCTGAACTGAAACTGTCAAAAGGCTCAGGCAATAGGCAACAAAAATGTCAGAGCTTTGTAATTAGGCGGCATGTTGCAGCAACAAAGTTGCCAGACTCTGACAATTTGCAACTGTCATCGTGACATTTGGCGGCAAGTCGCGAATATGTTGCAAATGCTGCCGGGGTTAATGACAACGTCGCCACATCTCTTGCAACATTATGACAGCTACACACACACACACGTATATATATATATATATATAGAGACTCGTAAGTTCATTTTTCTTATTGATTGCCAAACACACACACACACATACAGATATCTAGTATGTATGTGTGTGCCATTTGCTGAGTAGCCTTGAAAGCTGCGCAAATGCGCCCACAATTCACAATTTGTGACCAGTAAAAATGTCTATGGGCCTAAGTGCACCACCGCCACACATATAAGACTATTTATAGCCCATCGTATATACTTATATACACATTTATCGGCTCTCCATATACACAGTGCAATATGTCAGACATTAAGAGCTGCTCTAATATTGACATCGAATTGCGCTACTTGTGCCGCACTCAAAGCCATAATTGGGTAATTTATGGAGCACTAGGGGCAAGTGCGTAAAACACATTCCAAGTGAAAATAAACCCAAGTATTCACTCATGCTGATTTTAAAAAATCTTGATATAATAAAAGTATAATTTTATCATAGGATAATTATATTTTAATTATATTTTAATTATATATAGGATAATTATTATTTAAAAATAATTAAAAATTTGATGTGAATGGGTAATAAAATTATTATAATATATGTGCATAAATCTATGTAGCTAGGCTGCATAAATTTAATATGCTCGACAAATAGAAGAGTTTGAAAGCGATTAATATAATTTATAATAATTATAATATTTTTAATGAATATACTAATAATAATTTCAAAGAAAATATTATCAAATAATAATAATAATATTTGTAGTATTATAATAATAAAAAATAATATTATACATAATATTGAAATTTATAAACATAATGTAATATAGAAAATAATATTAATAGTAAAATAAATTCATTCTAACAGATTTATTAACACAATCTTATAAAATATATATTTATAAAAGCATGGCAAATAATTTTTTTTGATTTGAGCAATATTCAATATTGAGAATCGCTATAAACTGACTTTCCCTTTAGACATATACGATCTATTATTATACGATATATTTGACTTTGGGCAATACCATAATCTCATTACTTCCTATATTCACTTATAAATTCAGCTCTTGATTAGCTCTGAAATATCAGCTCTCGTTTCTACTATATCAAAGCATTTCTCTATCTAAGTGCAGTTCCCATGCTCACAGTTGTTCGCCTGTCATTCAGTCTCAATTTCCATTTCAGCTAAAAACAAGTTAATCGCAAACATACGCCAGCTCTCTGCTTTTCTATTCCATTTGCATTTTGTAAATCAAGTTTTCCGCTTTTCACTTCCACTGAGTTGGGAAAGAGATTCTCGGTGCGCAAGTCAAATCATCAAATCACACTCGCATTAATCAACAGCAATTAAAATCAATTAAACTAGTTGCAAACAGACAATTTGCCCCCTGCATTTTGCAGTTCCGACTCCCTGACTTTGGAATGCCCCCCACCTTTCCCCCTGTTCCACAGGGATGATGGGGAAGTTAAACTCTTTCGCTTCAAGCAATTGTTGTTGCTGTCAAATCAGCGCCTCGCCCGTTGACATTTCTATTATGTCTATGTCCATTCTGTCAGGGTATTTAAGCATTCTAAACATACGCGCATACACTGCCCGTCAAAAGTTAATGACCAGCGACGACTCTCTGGAGGCACGTCTAAAAATAAAGCAAGCTCGGCTCGGCTGAGCGCCACGTCTGCATCCGAAGAGGCGTCTGCATGGCGAATCGAGCGCAGATTAAAGGCAGCTTCAACAGAGGGAGATGGGGAAGCGAGAGAGAGCGGGATGGATGCAGTTGGAACACCCTGGAAAAGGCAGCGTATCAAACGCCTGGCATCTGCAACTGAATTTGACTTTAATGCGCGGTAATTATGAAAAGTAAACTTGACCAGGCCCAAGAGCTAAAATCGCTTCTGGTCTTCTTTGGCTACGATTTTGATTAGTTGCGGTTTACTGAAGGTCGAACACGATGGGCTCTGACTCCGTCTCCGTCTCTGTCTCCATCTCTCTGTCTGTCTCTGGGTCTGCGTCTGGCTCTGTCAGCTCTTTCTGTGTGGTTTTTCAATATGATTTCGCCCCATTGCAATTCTGTTGCTCATATATGTATATAAACTATATATATATGTGTATATAGATATGTGCTGTCCATATATAATTCAGTGCGTCACTTTGCCTGACAGCTTCATGCAATGTTGTTGGCAGCACGTTCGTAGCTCCAGCTACGGTGTGACTTTTGGGTGTTTCTTTCAGTTTGTTTACTGCTATTTTTCGTTTTTTTTTTTTTTTTTTTTTTTGTGAATGCGACGCGCTTTTCTGACAGCCCCCCACAACAGTAGCAGGAGCAGCACCAGCACCAGCAGCAGCAGGAGGAGTGGGAGTGGCAGCAGGAGCAGCAGCAGCAGGAGTATTGGGAGTGGCAGCAGGAGCAGCACCAGCAGCTGTGGGAGTGGGAGCAGGAGCTGGGGCTGGGTTCACTTTTTGCATAAATGCATAAAAATTGTTTACCATTGTTTGCAGTTGCAGAAGTTTCGATATTTCTTTTATTTTTTCGGTTTTGGGGTTGACTGCAGTCGAGCTGTCAAAATATTGAGCTGTCTGCGGATTTTGGTCAACAGATTGGACTGACAGTTCTATATGCACACACACACACACACATACATTATATGTATATAAATATTGTACATTCATGAATGCGAGTGCCGTTGATATACGAATATTTTCAGACAGCATTTAAATTGAAAAACAAACTAGATATAGACAGTCGCCGCACGATTGTTGAAATATTTTCAGGCTTAGAGCTGAGCGAATTGGCAAATTGCATTTGCTAATGAATTAAATCAATAAATAAACGATGGCCGAATTTCATCACTATTCGCAATATTATTGACAATTATTTTTTTTGTAATTTAAAAAATATTTAATACAAAATAATTAAATAATTAATATACAAAACAATTATGCCAATAATATAATTTCTATAAATTCTTGAAAATCTTTAAGTTTTCTGTTCTTTTAATTTATTAAAAATAATAGAGAAAATATTTAATACAAAATATTTAAATAAATAATATACAAAACTTGTATGCCAATAATATATTTTTCTATAAATTAACAAAAAAAAAAAAAAATCTTTAAGATTTATGTTTTGTATTAAAATTAATAGACAAATTATAAATTATTATACTTTATAAAATTCATTTAATTAATAAATTATTTATTTTTTATTGTTATAAATTTGTATATTATCCATATTTAATATAAAATTTTTTAATTACATTTAAAAAATATAATTAAAAGTTTATATAATTTTTAGAAATAAATATATTTAAGAAATTATTTTTTTTTTTATATTTTATATAAAGATTTGCTGTTCTTATATTTCTATATATACAAATATATATTAAACTTTATATATATATAAACTTTTAGAATATTTCTAATATATTTATTATTTATATCATTTATAGAATTTTTTGTTTTTAATAAAATATCTGAGTCATTGTTGCTGTCTTCATTATCAATAAAAATGTCAATATATATGTATATATTTATTACCATCAATATTAGTATTGCTTTAGCTAAGCAGTATTAAGCAAAGTTCCTCAAATACAATTGCAAAATTTATCTAAAATAAAATACTTTAAGATTAGCATTCAAGCACCCAAGTTCAAATATTGACTAAATCAGTCTCAGAAAAAGTAATTAATGTATTCTATTTACTTAGCAAATGCAATAATAATTAAATAATACTCATTAAGCACTATGCATTAAAACTATATATGTCTTTACATTAGCCATATGCATAGCCACACATATATAAATATTTTTCTACATTTGACCTATTGTCTAACTTCAATTTGGAAG